AAAATGCTTCTTGACTTGGTTCTTTAATTTTTTCTCATGCTAGAAGTTTTTGGGACTTATACCTTCATAGTGATGTAATATTCCATTTAAAGGCAATTTAGAATTCCGTGAGTTATCCAGTATATAATTTATAATAAATGTACACCATTCATCAGACATATGTAGATGGATTCAATTTATAAATATATGGTAACAGTACTTGTGGTAGCGAGCGTTTTGAATGTTTTTCTGTTCAAGAACCACCAATTTACTTCTTGTAAAAAATACAAGTACATGAAAAATTTAATGATGCAGGTGCATTATTCTCATTTTTTTCTCTCGACTTCTCATGTTTCCAAGTCGTTCAAGCCGCCTTAATGAAACGATCACTATTTTATTGTACTTGACAGATTTTGAGAACCACTATCGACGTGTACCTACGAAACTTGTAAAACTTCTGGTCCTGCCTCTTTTTACTGAAATCGACAAGTTTGTTAAATGTCTTTGACGTAATTGTGCAAACCATGCATTCTTCAATTACTTTATTGCATGAAAGGCATTTATGTTATATCTGCACTGGCTGTTCTGTCTCTCGAGGTTCTTCTGGCTTCTTTAACTTCTTAGATTGATTATGCATTTCACCCAAAAAATCTATAAAAGTATAGTGATATGTATTCATAATTTAGCACTAGTTATATTCTAATTTATTATTATATTGATAAAATTATAATAAATCTAAATAATATTTTGTACTAATACGTACACTGATAGAAAAAAGAGAAATGCATACGATAACAAAATTTGTAGGTTATACTCCTGTACTGCACGTGGTCATTTAATCTACTCCGATAGTAATTTAAATGACCAAGTAGTGAGTTAAAAAATGCAAAGACAATGAAAATATATATCTATGAAAAATAAATTTGTAGAACATACCTTTATCTCATTACTTTAAACATAACACGCAAACACAGACCTAATACTATATGATACATTGATGGCTCGGTAAAAGACAAAGCCAACTCAAAAAATTAGTGAAAAAAGAGTCAACTCGAATTTGGGTTGAAAAAGCAGTCAACTCAGATTAGGCTTAAAAAAGCAGTCAACTCAAATTCGGGTTAAAGAAGCAGCCAACCATTTTGTCGTGGCAGCACTGACATTTACAATATACATTTATAAACATACGTATCAAAAGGACCAAAGATTTTTCAACTATCCAACATTTAAGAAAAACAGCTTATGTTGTAATAAAGCATACCATATTAATTAAAGTATGTACTCTACTAGTCTGCTACAATTATAGAAGGAAGAGAAAACGCCAAATAAGTGTAACTGTAATTTTGTATACGAAAGTACGTTGTGATGATGAGATATCATCGAGCCATCATCGGTAGGCTAGGAGCGATAGGGAAAGAAGGAAAAGAGGAAACACGTAGAGGACAGTTAGGAAAAAAGGGAAAAGGGAAAGAAAAGGGATCAGATAAGCTTGGGCCAGCGAACGCGCGTGAAGCGAGTTTTTGTTGGGGGTTGCGAGAAGCAATTTCCCCAAGGCAATTTCTGCACGAGAAGCGAATTCTGTTTTGGGGGACGTGAGACGCGTCCTCTGGAGTGTTTCCGTTCCTACGACTGTTGTCGTGGCGGCTGTGCTTGAGCCGTCCCCGGTGCAGTGGTTGGTGCTGAGTGTCCGGATCCTGCTGGGATAGCAGGTGACGCCCGCGTCGGACTCAGGGTCACCAAAGCCGATACCGTCGATCTCGGCCTTCGAACGCTGCCAGTAGACTTGGCCTGCGAGAGGCATCATCGGGGAGCGACCCCGTATTGCCGCAAGTACCTGCCAACAGACAGTAATCTAGGGCAGCGGCCCTAGATTAGCCCGCGTTGTCTGCCCGGTTCGCGAGTTTGCGCCGCGTGCTCATCGAGTATTCGCATTCGACGAGCGTACACTCATACACACACACACCAAAACACCCACGATTAATTTTATATACTTATCTTGAATATATTCCTTATTTTAAATTTACTCGTGAGTGCTTCCTTTCTGTGTGTACCCGATCCTCTTTGTGCCGTGTTAAAGTCGTCGCGAGAGGCGACGACGTTCAAGGTCGCCGCGATATTTGGCCCCTGCGGTGTCTCGGAGAGCGAGACCTGCGTATAAAGTTTATTAGAGGTGCCGCCGAGGGTACCCGGGCAACACAGGCCCGGTCGAGGTTGCCAGTTCCGCCTCGCTACTCCACATCGGCTGTACCCCGTACATAAATATACTTGCAAATGTCTGAACTTTTTGTATAAGATACTTTCAAACATCTATGAATTCAGTATTCAACGATAGTATTCATAAATCATTTATTCAGTTACACTTGTTAAAAAAACAATGAAGCTAAAGCTTTTTCATTGTAAAAAAAAAAAAAAACTAAAATACGACTGCTAGTGAGAAAGTTAAATGAATCTGTAAAATTCTGTCATTCTGTACTACCTTTAGCGCAAAACAAAACTTGACATTTGTTTAAGCAAAATTTTTTAGTTAAGTTAAACCATCAAAGACAAAATAAAAACAAAAGACGCTGTCGCAAATGATTTCATGTTGTGCAACTCCAAAATAGTAAACTTCCTTATACAAGATAGGGCACACAGCAGAGTTCGGATTATACATATCAATATACAAAGATCACTTCACGAACATTAAATAACTTTTTACGTTTTATAAAAATTCCAATGTTTTATTCTTTGAATTGTATTTTTTTAAATTCATTTACTTAACTAAAAAAAAGTTTCAAAATGAAATTTTTATATACTTCATTATAAATTCTCATATTCATGAAACATTGTATTTTTTTATGACTTATGTACGTATCTATTTAGCCCTTATCCAATCGACCAGATTTTGGAATATCGAAAAATTTAAAGTTAATTTTTATATGTTTAGTGCGAATATTAATGTCATAAAGAATATCTTGAGTTACTCTATTTTTACGTCATTAAAAATTTTAATGTTCTATACATTACTACTTGGTACATTCAATCACACATTTTTTAATGTAATTTTCTGCAAAATAATGGTTGAACATAGAATCATGTCGAAGAAAAAAATTATTGTACTCGAAAAAAAAACATAAGAGAGGCTTAAAATTAACTTTAGAGCTGTTTAAAGCAGGTAGCCGTATGAAGTCTCGCAGACATCAATGATTGGTTATAATTAAACCTGTGTTTTTTCTACTATGGCGATATCACCACGGATGTAAGTTCAAAATTTCTGAAAAAAATTCTGTAGTCAGAGAAAATATATGTAAACATGCTTAGTTTACTTGAATCTCATTTTGTATCAACATAACCTTAAAAAAATTTTCAAAACGCTGTATCTCAAAGGAAAGTAACATAAGTGAAAATTAACTATTTTTACAGTTTGCGCTTAAGCTCAGGGAACTTAAATGATGCAGCTTAATTTTGTTATGACCGGACCTGTTTAGAGTAAGGTCTTAACCATTTTATTTTAGGATCATTTGTGGGTCTCTTAGGATTCAGCTCGTGAGCTTTATTTGTTCTTTTTAGTATAGTAAAAATCTTTATTGAATAATATGGATAATTTTAATTAATGTATTTCTTTATTGAAGCAATTTAATAAAAATTTGTTCGTTTAAATACAATTTAATCGGGTCACTTTAACAAGGTTTGGCATTAATTTTATTACTGATAAATAACTTACATCTATCACTGATTGTTGTTACTGCTGCTTCGGAGTTTTCTAATGCTTCGTGCGGTAACCTTCAGTGTTTCCTTAAACTACACGAATGAGTTCGCGGCCAGTAGGATGTTGCGATTTCTAGTTTCTCTGCTGTCGCCGGAACCACTTTTGGCGGGCCTCCTTTGCTGTACCTCGCTTCTTACCGTAATCTAATACTATTGATGTTCTCGAAATGCACCTGAGTTGCCTCAGCCAACACATTATGCCTTACGTGTATAAGGTACTCGCGAGTCGTGGAAGTCGAAAGTAGACTAAAACTTTAGAGGACAGGTGACAGATGTTAAACGAGCGATTTTTTCTCTTAATGGTGCGTTTTTACTGCGTCACAGCAAGTAAAAGAAGCCTTTGATTGAGTTAGGTCAACCAATGAGCGATATTATTGCAGACTGCATTGACAGCAAAACAGTGGGCTTGCACGATGATGTTTTCATGTTATAATTTCATGTATTAGGAAATAACAATATAACAGTACCAATCGTATTTTTCTGAGAAGTGCGATTAAGTTTTTAGGATCAGTGATGATGAAAGCTCGCATCAGCAATGAAAGAAATACCAAATATAAGTTAAAGAGTGACGAACAAGCTTACAAGTTTTGCAATTAATCCTTCTGGGGATTTTACAATTAATTTTGAATATAAATAATTAATATGTTTTTTTTAATTTTTCAATTGGCTTACATTATTAGAAATAGACAATGAATTACGCAAGTAAAGGATTTATTTATACATACAATACAATTCATGCATTCATACATGTAACGTACAATTTCAACACATACATGCATTCTTACAACGAGGCCTTTCCGTATTATATGTCAGCATATTATGAAGTATTCACCTTAAAGCTAATACATACACAAGCATACAAGTGACGTTTAAGTTCCACTTGTCATATGAGCTTGTATATATACACAATACTCTTGCATTAATTAGACTAACAAATTGCGTTTTTACTTATAACATGGTTCGTCTGTATCAACTTGGGATGTAACAGTTTCATGAAGACACAGCTGATGGTTCTTACATTTTTTAATTTGTCATTTTTTTTCATCCTTGTGGAATGTTTAATTGGACATGTGAAGTGTATAAACACTTTGCATTTATTCAATGATGGCACTTATTTTAAATTTAAAATATGTAAACATAACATTGTACCGTATTATATCAATGTCTCAAATCTAACAATTTGATTTTTTATTTAATACTATTTCGATTTAACACAGTTACCCACTTATCAATTTTTTTCAAGTAGCTGTATTATAAAATTTTTTTGTTTTTTCTAGATATGTATAAGCTTGTTGATGAAGAATCCAACAAAAACAGTTCAAACAACTATATTTATAGTATAAGTGGTGCACAGGAATTTCGTGCTTACCTGTACAAGCTACAGAGGCTCATGTTAAATCTTCTATCAAAATTTCAGACAACTTCCAGGACAGATCTTAATTCACCTTCGTCTGTACAAATTACTGCCAATTCAATGTTGTATGCTAGAAATCAAGCGCAGCATAGTCAAATGGGGAAGAAATTAAGAAATGTTTTATTCGAACCTTATGTGTTGCAACACTCAGACAGTTGTAAAATAAAAATTCAAGAATCATCTAGTGGCATACACTTGGGTATTATTGTAGAACATTTGTTGAGCGCAACAAGGTTGCTGCAAAATGGACTGTCTCAAAAAAAAACTCATTCTGTTAAGGAAATGAACTCTGCAGATCTCAAAAAGGTAATTTAATGAATATTCTACGTACGATATTTAACTTGTATAAAAACATTTTGAGTATCTTTGTTATTCTTAAACTGCTGCGTTTGTAGCATGGGACGAATTCGTATGAAGAATTTGTGCTTGTTTGAAATATCTTACGAAAGTTACCTGGATGTAGGAAGTAGTGGAAATTTAAAATCAAAGTAAATGATTAAAACTTTTGAATGAAATAAAATGATGAAGTTTAAAACTTTTTTTCCGTTCTATGTTATTGTTTAACGATTGTAGTGTTTTGTTAAAAACATATATGGTTAGTTAAGAGCTGGTTTTTAGATATAAATAATACAAAATACTAATATCGCGGTATAAGATCACTTAAAGCAAAAATTTGTCTAATTTAAACGCTTACGTTGCTGCTAATTAATGGTACATTACGTCACTAGAGCAAAAAGTACAAATATGAGCACCCGAAGGGCGCGGTTGTTGTACGTTTGTACCCGAGTCACGTATAATTTTTTTCTTACCGAGGGTGCAAAGTGAAATTTTGTGCCCGTGGGCACATTTTGCGCACAGTAAATCACTTTGGGTCCTAGGGCAGAAAAGTACTTTGGGCCCACGGGCAAAACGTTTTCTGCGCCCTCCAGGCCCAAAATTACAAGGGCACAAAGTGGCAGTTGCATTTTGGGCCCATGGTAAGAATAGTAGTTTTCCTACGAGTTTGAAAAGTCTCTGTTTGCGAACCGAGACGTTTGCGGCCCGAGCCGAAGGTGAGGGACGTAACGAGGTTCGTAAAGGAGACTTTTCGAACGAGTTCCGGAAAACTGCTTTTTCGCCCGAGGAAGTACCAGCCTCCCAAAACCACCCGAGGGCGGAAAACTGTTTTTTCGCCCGAGGAAGTACCAGCCTCCCAAAACCACCCGAGGGCGGAAAAATAATTTTTTTTTCAAGATAGCGGTAAATTCAAATGCCATAATATAAATTGTTGTGTGTATAATCGTATACAGAATATTGGACGAATTGTTACAGGATAAGAAACATCTGAGTGCGGTAAAACATACTATTTTCTTACCATGGGCACAAAGTGCAACTGCCGCTTTGCGCTCTCGGGCTTCACTTTGTGCCCTTGTAGTCACTTTGGGCTCTTGGACACAAAAGTTTTTTTCGCCTTCCGAGCCCAAAATAATGTGCTTGGTGCAGTGTATACCTACAGGCGCAAAATGACACTTTTCACCCTTAGTAAGAAAAACATTATGGGTACCAACACACTACCCTTCAGGCGCTTATGTTTGTACTGTGTGTCCCATGAACGTAGTGCATCATTTTAACATTACTTTGTCATATTATGTGCTTCATTTAATAAAGATAAATGTAATTAATACTTACAATAATTACCAATTTACGAAAAGGAATAAATCCTTTTTATTTTACTTTGATTTTTGATGCATATCATTTTTTATCATAAACCCAATAATCACTACTGAAAGCCCCGAATGATAAACATGGATATGAATAGAGAGTACTAGTCATGTAAACAACATTCGTCTTGCATGTTCTTCTTCTCTATACGTCTTAAATACTACAGATTAAGTAAATCGTTATTATACTATCAATCTAAAAAAAAATTAATCTTGAAAGTCTGCCTTCTCTTCTAGTCAGGGATTCTGTACATTCATAGGTAACACAGTAATCCTCGTCACAGTACAACATTGACTTTGAGTGTTTTATCTCGTTTGCTCTTGCTCTTGTGTTTTGACTGTTATTCCGTCTGTCTTATTTTTTAATAATTTCCCATAATAACTGTTGAAAACAAATTTTCGTACACCTAAATAATAATAATTTTTTTTTTCTTTTTCTTTATTTTCTTTACTACTTCTAAAATAAAAAATAGTAGTTTTCCTACGAGTTTGAAAAGTTTTTGTTTGCGAACCGAGAGGTTTGCGTCCCGAGCCGAAGGCGAGGTCCGTAACGAGGTTCGTAAAGGAGACTTTTCGAACGAGTATCGGAAAACTGCTGTTTGCCCGAGGAAGTACCAGCCTTCCAAAACCACCTGAGGGCGGAAAATATATTTTTCGTTTTCCCTTTACAAATACAGTAAGGGTTAATGGATTTTAATAATAGTAATTTGGATATAAGTTTGAACGCTCCTTTTGAATTAGGTTGTGTATCAACAATGTTAGATCTAATAGCAGACGGACAAACCATTAAACGGACAGTGGAGGTACTACCCGAAAAGCTAGTGAGAGAATATTTAAAGATTCTTAAAATAGTCTGTCTAGGATCACCCATAGAGATCGTTTGATATTACTTAAAACGATACTACAATAGCTCCAACAGTGGGTGGTCTTACTTGAAAGACTAATCAATTACACCCAACAGACAGACTAGAATTGCCTCGCCAACTCTTACTGCAGGTCCCTAGTAGAAGAAGATGGCATGCTGTGTTCTGGTTAAATATAACTAAAAAACTAGAAGAAATAGCAAATGCTTATGGAAAAAGAAACTCACTTGAAAACTTAGTCAGGCAACAAGTTGAATGGAACTTACAACGGTATGTTATTATAACGGAATAAAATCCATGCGATTTAATAACCACTCATTTTCAGTCAGCAATGCAGAGGTTAAACTGTCCAAATCCAACGTCGTTGGTAAGGTTATCGGATGATTCACTAAATCACCAATTTACAGTCAAATATGCGCATGGATTGAACAGAGCATGCTATGCTATTCTCCAAGACTTACTTACCGAAGATAATCAAACTAGTAGCGCACGGGTAGTACGAAACAACTAAACCACGTTAAGTAAGTTGTTAGAAAGTGGGAAAGAACATGTGATACTATGGGAGAAAATGCAGTTATAAAAAGGGATGCCGTATCAGGAGAAAATATCAAACTAAGGATACATGTACAGAAAGCAATCAGTAAGTTTTTATCATGTTGCGATAGGTATACGCCTGCAATGGGAAAGTTTTGGTGACTTATTTTACGAATCCTTTGTTAATTTCAGACAAATAGTTAGCACAGCAATTCACTCAGCAAAAATGGGAATATGTAGAGGGGACCACAAGAAATTGCTCACCACTGTCCTAACAGCCCTTAACAATACCAATCTAATAATACATTGGGAGAAATCAGAGTTTTGATGCACTGAAGTAAAGTACCTTGGGTTTAACGTTGATAAGTATGATTTAATAGTCGATCTAGATAATCTAAAACCCATTGTTCAGTATCCAGCTCTGAAGAACTTGAAACTATTACAATTTATCGTCATAGCTTGTTGGTACAGCTGACATTAAAACCTCACTAATGAAGCTTATGCCTAGAGACCTGAACTAGAAATGAACTGGAAAACAACAAGAGGCATGTGACAAACTGAAAACCCTCTTAACTGAGTCCCTACTGCTCGCTTGATTCGACTTCTCCAAGACTTTTGTGTTGCAGACAGACACGAGTGATTATATAATTGTTGATATAATTATCCAGGAGTTTGGCTGGGAAGAATACCATATTTATCATGTAAGTGGGACCCTGAGCAACGCTGAACGGAACCATATGGTATACATAAACTTAAAAATCCTATAAGTGGGTCAACTCGCTGGAATACGACACTGCAGGCTTATGATGTAAATTTTGTTTACACAAAAGCAAAATTTTATAAAGTTTCAGACGCTTTATCACGCTCACATGAATGCCAAGTAGCGGCACTGGGAAATATCATCAAGGCAATCCCATGAATTTCCCAATTGAAAAATTCTCGAACTTTAATTGTGTTCCCACAAACCAACACCTTTAGAGATCCTATAATACTGGAGCTAGTCGCCTGGAAAATTATCTTTCCCAAAAGAATTAAAGCTACAACCACTACATAAAGCTCATGCAGAAGCATAAGCTAGATACATGGAAGTTGACAAAACATATTCCCATCTAGCGGTCTGCCATTAATGGCTTGAATGCTATCACAATGTCGCGTACGTTTAGGCGTATCAAGAATGTGAAAAGAACAAAGTTCTATAACTAGCTCCTGCTGGTTTACTAGGAGAATTGAATCTGAGACATTTTTAGATCATAGTGGCCCCTGACGTACTTGGGTCAAACACTGTCTAAAACCAGTATCCGGTATGTTATGATCTTTAAAGACCTTTTCCTAAGTACAAGGAACTACGTTCCCACCGGCACATGGTAGAGACATTGATTTTGATGGCCAGTAGGGACACTGATAAGCCAAGGCTCGGAAACTGTGCTGTCTGTAGCAGACATTAGATAAAAAGTCTTACGTGTAAACAAAGGTAAAAAGACTTAAAGCATATTATATACATGCATCATGCTACTTGTGATTAGCTGAAGTAGACTGCAGTTGTAGCAAAACGGAGCGCATCTGTACAGGACTACCTCGTCTTCTAGTGCCCTGGACAAGGATCGTTGCCACCTAGTAGCGTGATGTCGCATCAAACTGGGAACGATGCCCGTGTGGTGTGTATAATCGTAGAAGGGATATTGCACGAGTTGTTACTGAACAAAAAACATCTGAGTGCAGTAAAATATATTGTTTCAAGTAAAACGTAGATGAAAATGTAATACTTGCAAAGTATTGTTTTACACGGTAATACAGAATCTACTACAATTTTTTCCAAGATGATCACTTCATACGCACGCTTTGCATACTGTGGCACAAATATAATTTTGCTACAAGCATTAAATTTGCACTTGGCACTTGAAAAAAAAGCTAAAGGAAAAGGAAGAATCATAGAAAAAAAGGAGTGGAAACAAACTCGTTTCGCTCTCGACCACTAGTTAAACTCTTCAGTGCGGCGTGCTAGTGATCTTAGCCGTAGACGAACACGACCGATACTGAAGAGTTCAGCTAGTGGTCGAGAAATTTCGCTTCACCTCTATTTATAAGCGCCAAGTATAAATTTAACGCTTGTAACAAAATTATACTTGTGCCGAAGTATACACAGTGTGCGTATTAAGAGATCATCTTGTGAAAAATTTTTGTAAGTTTTGTATTACCATGTAAAACAAGA